AGCATGCCCTCCTGTGCCGCTATCACTAACTTAGGTTTCTATTGCAAGCATCGTTGAGGCCTGTTCTTCACTTCCGTTCTTTTTTGGGAGCAGGCCCTACTGCCTTCATAGTGTCGACTGTCGTCCGCTGTGGAGCCCGACTGTTGTCCGCCTTTCTTGTACACACACTTGTGTCACCCATGGAGTTGCATAGAATGGCACGTGGATCGCCTACGGCTGTATCCCTCATTACGCGTCCTCGGGGTAGGAGTGCTTTTGGTCGTGCCAGCGCCGCTTGCTTTGGAGGTGGAGCTTGGAATGCTGGGCAGGTTTCTGGCAATATCTATTTAAGTTGTTTTTTGCTTGGTGCATTTCCTCGTGAGGGCGAGGCTGAATGGTACGGCTTCCTGGGTCTTTTTTCATGTTCATTCCCAGGCCCCGGCCCTCCCTGCCCCCACACGCGGGGCAGGGACACGATGGGGGCGGTGCGGCACGGGAGCCCGGGCGGGCTCCGCACTCTTGTGCAGAGTTGTTCCGATTTTGGCCCTTCCGCACGCGCCTCCGGCCCATGCCAGACAAGGCGGCATGGGGAGGATGCCCGCAGCCTGCAGCTGGCACCGGGCTACGACCACAACCTTCCGCCCCGACAAGGCCAAAGAGGGCCTCAAGGGAGCCCCAAGACTGGCCCACAGAAGCCCAGGACAGCCCCAGAACTGCCAAAATAAGGTCCCTGAGGTTTCGCCGAAAAGTGAAAACAGAATGCGTCACATGTGACGGCTCTCCTCCGCCTCGTCCTCCTCCTCCTGCTTCTTCTCCTCCTCATCTTCCTCCTTCTCCTCCTCCTCCTCCTCCTACTCCTCCTCCTGATCATCATCACCATCATCATCATCATCATCACCATCATCACCATCATCATCATCATCATCATCATCATCATCATCATCATCATCACATCACCATCATCATCGCCACCATAACGACTCGTATCACCAGCGCCACCATCACCACAGCCAGCATAATCATCACCACCATCACGATCACCATCACCCTGACCATCACCATCATCATCATCATCATCATCATCATCATCATCATCATCACCAGCATCATCATCATCGTCATCATCACCATCATCATCATCATCATCATCGTCACCATCATCATAATCATCATCATCGCCATCATCATCATCATCATCATCATCAGCATCTCCATCCTCATCCTCACCGATCATCATCACCGTCAACATCTTCGTCGTCATCGTCATCCTCACCACCCATAGTATAAACATTAACGTCCTCATCAGCATCACCCTCATTATCATCATCATCACCATCAGCATCACCATAACATCACCATCATCATCATCAGCAATATCATCATCACCACCATCACCACCACCACCACCATAATCCTAATCCTCATCCTCATACTCATCATCATCATCATCATCATCATCATCGTCATCATCACCATCATCATCATCATCATCATCACCATCATCATAACAATGATAATCATCATCACCATCACCGAATCGAGCCGCAAGAAACTCAAGAGGAGCCGCAAGAAGCTCCCCAGAGGCCCTCAGAAACTCTTGAGCCCCCTCGAGAAGCTCTTCAACCTCCAAAGAAGATCTTCAGCCCCCCAAGAAGATCTTCAGATGACCTAAGAGGCTCGTCATACGTTTCTTATCGGCTATGAGGGGGGGTCTGGGTCTCTTCCTGGAGGCTAGCCCCCCCTTCTGTCGTACTCCAGGGGTTTATAGGGTCCGGAGCACCCCTGGCCATACAAACACCCACCGGGCCACATGAATAATTACCCACGGGCCACACAGCACCTTCTCTCATCGAGAGCGCCACTTGGCCGACAACGGGAACGATTACTGGGCAGGCCGCCGACCTCACAGAAGCAACTGCTCGCAACCAAACTGGCGCGCTGAAGGCCAGCCGATCTACCAAGTATAGTCTCCCCCGACAAGCTGTCGCATACGCACGCGCCTATGCAAACACACGCACGCACGCACGCACGCAGGCACGCACGCACGCACACACAGGGTCACACACTTTTTGGCGTCGCGGCCACGCGCGCGGTGGCGCGGTGTAGTGGCGCACATACACGTCGTTCATTTCTAATCGTGCTCATTTCTAGATGTGCTCGTTTCTAATCGTTCCTGGCCTCCTTGTGGGCAGGAAGAGGCCTAGGATAAAACAATTAGAAATGAAATGCTCTTGGCCCCCAAAACAATCAAAGAGCTTTCGAATAATTAGGATTTACAAATGTGTACATACACACACACACTTTTCCGCCAACGACGAAGTGACAACAACGTGGCGATGCTCCAAGCCGGGTCACGCTCAGGCGAGTTAACACCTGACGTAGCACAAACCTACATACCCCCCCCCCCCCCCCCCCCCCACCCCCCCACACACACACACACACACACACACACACACACACACACACACACACACACACACACACACACACACACACTTGCGCGCACACTGACGCACACACGCGCGCAAGCACACACGTTTGGCGTCCGCGGCTAGGCAGGGTCACTGCGCCGGCGAACACCAGCGAAACGGGGAAGGCGTTGAGCGAATCGTGCCACCGTCGCCCGAGGGGGGGGGAGGGAGGACGACGGGGCGACGGCCGTGGGAGGCAGGGAAGAGGGCTGGGGCCGCTCAGAAGGGCGGGGCGAGGGGGGTCCGCAGCAGCGGCGGGGCCGCGGGGCCGGCGGGGGCGGAGGCGGGGGCCGACCAGGTCAGCTGGTAGAGGTGCGAGTGCGTACCATCAGAGATAAAGCCAGAACCCCGAGGGAGGGGACGGCGAGGCCCTCGACAACGGGCAAGGGGCGTGGGGGTAGGCGCGGGCGGCAAGACCCACCCGGGCGCCGAGGCGGGGACGTGCGCGGCCAGCAGGCCGAAGGGATCGCGCTGCTGACTACCCTGCGGGAACCGCGAGGTGGGTCCCAACAGCACGAGGGCAGGCACCGAACAGGTGCAGGCCACCCTGCCGGGAAAGACAAGGAGGACACCAGGCGGGGGAAAGCAACGGCCACGGTGGTGGGCGAGTGGGCCGGAGGCCCGCCCGTCGCTGCGTAGGACGCGCACCCACGAGCCCGGAGGGGACGCGGCGAGTGCTGGCCGCGGCGGGCGGAGTAGTGACGGGGGGCAGCCCAAGGTCGGAGGGGCGAGCGGCGGGGAGAGGGCCAGGGGAGAGGGGGCGGTGCGCGGGAGCGCGCGGCTCTTCGGCCTGGCCTGGCCAAAAAGCAAGCGGAAGTGCGGCTCCCCGGGCCCATGAGCAGGCGGGGGCGGGCGGGGCGGGGGGCGGAGGGCGGCGACCGTACAGCCGCACCGCTGCACAGGCGGGCGCGGCAGCCCGCCTGTGCAGCGGGGGGGGCACCGGGACGGCGCGAGCGCAGGAGCTGGTCGGCGGCGACGACAACGGCGAATGGCCCAGGGGCGCGCATTACACGCATTCGCCCCGCTGCCTTCATCGGAGCCCCTGGATACATGTATTGCTCTCCCCTGGGCTATTCGCCCCTACAGTCGCCTCTGACCTGGAGAGGGCCGCCACGGCCCGCATGAGCAGGACGGAGCAGGGTGAGCGCTCAGAGCGCGGCGAGGGCGGTGGCCCTGACCGGGCCGAAACTGCCAGGGGCGGGCACCGGTGGTAGCGGGGAGGGGGGGGGGCATCCACCACCGCCGCCCTGCCCGGGGGGAGCAGGGTGCACTCTGCTCCCCCCGGGCGCCCCCCTCCCATGGGAGGGGGCGCCCGGAGAAGCACCGAACTGGTGCAGCCAGCACTGTCACGCAAGAGCAGCGAGCCCGGCCTCGCGCTGGAGAGGGGGGCCTCTGGCGCGGGGCCCCCCGGGGTCGGGCCGCTCTCGGGGGAGGGGGCGGCCGGACCGCCGGGGCCAAGCAGGCGCCGCAGAGACGCCCTGGGCGGGGGCCCAGAGGACGCGAAGACGGACCTGCGAGCGGCGGCTGCCAGGAAGGGAGAAAAGAAGCGGCGGCGCAGTGCGGGAACGCCAGGGCTGACGACGCAGCGGGGGGCCCGTCAGGCCGTGCGGGGCGGAGGTGCACCCTGCACGGGCAGGGGGTTGGGAGGCCAGGTGGCTCGGAGCGCTGGGTGCGGCTACCAGGGCGCCGCTGCCTGGATGGCTCGTTGTTGGGCCAGGTCGGGAGGCGCGCAAGCGCACACGCATCACACGCACCTGTCCATCCTGGGGCGCCGTGGGCCACGCGGTGCAAGTCCATGTCGAGTGCACTCGACCGGATGCCGTGACATCCTGGTGGGTAAGGGGCAAGCAGCGACCAGCGAGGAAGCAGAGAAGCATGCCACGGACGAGCATGCCCAGAGATCCGATGTCGTGTTTTTTCAATACGGGGTCCCCGGAGGTCTCGACCCATTCCCCAGGATCGGTTTTTCATCCTGAGTCGTTCTTTGACGGTCCCGGGGCCCGGCGAGGGCCGCCAGAGGCTCTCGATTTTTTCAGTACGTCGGAGGTCTGGGTGCACATGGTCATGTGCACAGGGGGTCGCCACACTTCCGCCTGTCCCAAACCGCTCATCATCAATCCCGGAATCCCTTGTGGGGTCCACTCTGACCAAATGTCTGGAGCAGATGCAGCCGGGGCGACGAGAGGCCTCCACGAGATCCCCCCAAAAAACGAAGGACGCAACGGAGGCCCGCTAGTGTACGGCTGTCGACGCGAATCGACGCTACATCGACGCTAACTGACGCTGATCGACGCTAATCGACGCTGGATCGGCGCCATCCCATCGAGTACCAGACGATGATGGACGCCAATGCACTCTAAAGACGGAGTTACGAGGGCATACAAGGCTCCCATGATCTGCGACCGAACTCCGTGTAGCCGCGTCTGGGGCCCGATGCCCAAGAACGCCTGGTCCCGACGGCAGCCCACGCTCCCGAGGGAACAGGCAAGCGGCGGGCTGCCCGACAGCGGGCGCGCCGGGGGGGCGGCTGCCTGGAGCGCGCGCGCTGTCCTTCGGGCGCGCGACCTGCACGTGCTTCGCAGCGCGGTCCAGGAGCCACCACGACTTGTCCCACTGGCCGACGCCGCGCAGGTTCGCGGCGCAGCGGCAGAGCACGAAGGCGCGGAAGGCCGCCTCGTCCGGGTAGCTGCTGATGAGCACCTGCCAGTCCGCGATGTCCAGCTCGAAGACCCGCGTCAGCGCCGGGCCCAGCGCTGCGTAGACCGCCTGCAGGTGCGCCTCTGGCACCTCCGCCGTGCGCTTCTCCTCCGTGTTGAAGGAGCTGATGATGCACGCGTGCAGCTGCTCCGCGGCGAGGCCCCCTGGCTCCCCGAGCGCGGCGGGCGCGGGCGGCAGCTTCCAGTAGCCCCCGAGCCACTCCAGCTCGAGGCCGCCCTGGGCGGCACCCCGCAGCGCAAAGGCCACGCGCATCGTCCCGTCGAAGGCGCCCTCGGCGCCGGCCCCGCCGAGCAGGGGCGCGGAGACGGGCTCGGAGCGGCAGAGCTGCTCGGCCACGAAGACGGGGGACTCGTTGGACCAGAAGTGCAGCCGCTGCTCGTCCAGAGGGCTCCCAGACCAGCTGTCCTGCACGGCGCGGGGCGCCTGCCGGCCGTAACACGCAGGGAGCGGCCCCATTGGGCTGGAGGGGGGGGACGCGGGGGGGGAGGCGAGCCCAAGCGCGCAGGCCGCTGCCATGGCTTCGCGGCCAGCGGTCGGGGGGCTCCCGTGGGCCCGCACCCAAAGGCACTCCTGGCGATGGGGCCACTCTTGCGCGCAGCCGAGCCTGGCGCTGCAGCCACACCTCCATGTCGTTGCCCGCGGGCACCTGCAGCAGCTGCCTCAGGGTTGCGTCCAGATCCGCCGCGGGGCACACCAGCACGCCCGCGCCGCGCGCGCGGTTGACGAGCTTCAGCACGACCGCGCCGCCCTTGTGGGACGAAGCCAGAGCGAGGGCAAGTTTGGGCGAAGAGAGATCGAGAACATCTGAGAGCAAGTGGGTCTGGGAAATGGATCGGGCGCCGCGGCCGACCCAGAGCTCTCCGGAACGCTCTGGAACGATTCGCCCTCAGCCTAGGCCTGCCTGACCTTGCCCACGCAGAGGTCGCGCTTGATGCGGTCGGCCAGCCCTGGGGAGTACTTCCTCGGGTATGCAAACTGCCTCGGCCGCATGAAGGCGAGCCCGCACTGCACGAAGGCGTCGTGCATCACTCGCTTGTTGTCTACCATGACGCCCTTCTTCAGCGGGTTCTTGCCCATGCAGTACGCGCCCTCCATCGTCTCCTTGATGACAGCACCGTGATGGGAAAACTTCGAATAGCGCCCGTCCCCGAGCTCCAGCACCTTCTGGGACGATCGCTTTGCTGTGTCATAATTGTTTTTTTCTCTCTCTCTCTCTCTCGCTCTCTCTCTCTCTCTTTTTCTCTCTCTCTCTCTCTTTGTTTCTTGCAGTCTCTTCATACCTATTTGTCTCTGTATAGTATGTAAACTGTGAACATGCTACTGGGCAGTAGAACCACGCGCGCGCTTCGTTCGCGCTCAGGTTCTAGTTTAGCGACCTTGCACCAGCCATGAAGACATGCATGGGAAGTCAACTCTATGTGTGACCTCGCGCAACATCTCTCGACGAGTCCCGTCAAAAATCACCAAGAGTGTTCACAGGCTGTTCCCACAGATCTGAGGAGACGCTTGCAAAAGCTACGCCAATAACTCTGCTTGGCTGCCTTGTGCCCTTGGGGTGTGGATTCGGCTCTTCGAGCCGTGAAGCCCCCCGAGGGTTCTCCTTGACCCTCTTGAAACGCGTTGCTGGTGTCTCTTTGGAAGCGTCGCGTGTGCCTCTTGGGCTATATGTGGCGCATCTTGCCACTTGGTGCGCCTTTGAGGCCTCTGGAGGGCCTAGGGCATCTCCTGAGACCAATCCTAAAATCAACGAGTACCCAACGGGCAATCATGGAAAAACGTATTATCATCAACTCGTTCGCTGGATCCGCTCAGAAGGTCAGGCGAATTGATGAATTTGCGCGCAAGCAAGCAACTTGTTACATGACCCGCCATCTCTATATGTCTTCGACGAGGTCCAGGTTGAATTGCCAACGAGCAAGTCTCCCAGCGATGGGCCCAGTCCTTAAGAGCTTCAGGCAGTAAGGCTGGTGATCGGCCCTGCTATGGGCAGCTTGTGTGCGAGATGTGTTGACAATGGCGGGAGCGTTATGTGGAGCTCCTTATGGGGGGGGCGCCAGGCGTGTTACCAGTTACGCCGACATGCACGGGACAATCATGCGAACTTTCCCACCGGGGCCGCGGCGGGGCCCGCGGGAGGCGTGTGCCGAAACGTGCGGAGCCGCGCATGTGAAATTTTAGAAGCTGGAGCCGTAGGTGTAGCTCCTTATGGGCCAGCGGCCCCTGTGGCAATCTTTCCGACAAGGGTGCCCACCGCCGCTGTGCAAGCCCTGCCACTGTGACCGCAGGTGGAGCTCTCTGATTGATGGGGCCACGGGAAGCGTTTGAGGGGTGTGCCGACACAGGCCGGGGGACGATATGCGGAAGTGAGCATCGTTTAACCGATCCCCATCCCCATCGGCGTGGCCTGGGCCCCACTGGCCGATTAACCCCCTAGATGGGGATATAGGCCGTTCCCTTCGGGTTTCGAAGGGTGTATCCCCAACTGGGGTGGTAATTTGGTGGGGGCCTCGAAAGGGATGAGGATGGGGATGGTGGTCGGTTAAACGGTACTGAACATGGGCGGGGGGACGATATGCGGTAGGGCCCGCTGAGGCGGTGGGTGGAGCTTCCTATGGGGCCACGAATCGTGGGACGGGTGTGCCGAACGGGCAGGGGGGCTCTACGCGGTCGGTCCCACATGTGTGGAGCTCCCTATGGAGCCACGAGGCATGTGACGGGGTGTGAAGGAATGGGCGGACGCTGTGCGGCCGTACCAACTGAGGCGGTGGAGCGGCCTCTTCGGGGTTCCCCTGCAGCTGTCCTGCGGCGTATTGGGCGCCTCTGGGGCCCTTTTGGGTCGTCTGGGCGCCATCTTGGACCGTCTCCGAAGCTACCGCTGGCCGTCTTGGCTGTCTTGGACCTCGTATGAACAATCGAGTGGCACTTCCTCCCTCGCCTGCCGTCGCAGATGGACTGGGGACTGGGGCTGGCTGGTAATCTGGCGCGGTGGCCGGCCCTTGCCAACCCCAGAAATAAGGATGACCCACGTGGGGCCGTTGGATGCGTGAAGGTCCCTGCTGGGCCCACTCTCAGATTAGCAGTTTTTTGGTGCCCCGACAGAACACCTGGGCGACGCAACCCGAATGGAGGTGCCCAAGGCGCCTGCATGAATTCACATGCAGTCGGACCTCGCAACATGAACGGCGGCACAACGGCCACCAGCACCACCCCACCTTGGCAACCGGCGTCAAGAAGCGGAGAGCCCGCTGCCCAAGGACTTAAGTTCCCGCGCCCCCCACGTCGGGGGACCCCTGACCCCATCGGGCCTCTCAGGGGTGGCGCGGCGGGCCCGCACCTACTGTGGCTGGCCAACCACAGGGCAAGAGTCTCTCCCACAGCCCCGTCGAACTGTGGTGACGATCGGGCTGCCAGCCCGCCTGCTCTCCTGGGACGCCACGAAGCACCCAGCGGCACAGGTGCCAGATTTGCAGTTTTAGGGAAGGCCTATTGGGACCTTGATGGGGTTCCCATGGGGTGCTCCTGGGGGCCTTTGGGGCCCCTTTGGGGCCTGCTTGGGCTATTTCCGGGCAACTTTGAAGTCAGATGCACATCGTCGGAAACGGCGAGGCAGCACGCGTACTCCAGAACCTCAGGCTTTCTCGCTCGCGCATGCGGACCGCAGGAACATCATCCATGGGAGGCCGTGGGGCCAATCCAGGGCCGTCTCAGTGGCCTGACAGGGGCGTCTGGGAGCCGCGCTGGAAGCCATCCTGGCCACTTGGTCGCCGTCTTGGAGGCTTGCCCGGCCCTGTCCGGCGGCGCGGCGCAGCGCGACACGGGCCCCGATCGCTGGGCGCTTCGCTCGAGAAGCGGGTCGGCGCAGTCACCAAACACGCGCTCTGCGAGGCGAAGTGGGCGCAGGGGCCTGGCCAAGCAGGCTCCAAGGACGTCGCCGCGGGCTCCGTGGGCTCACCATTTCCGTCGTTGGGAGTGGGTCTCGTCCGCTATGCTGAACCGCCCGCTCCGCGATTCATCGGCAGCCCTCGTGCACGCATTGCAGAATGCACGGGGGCGCCGCCGTGGGGCCCGGCGCCAACCCAAGAGAACTGCGCGGACCTCCGAACGTTCATGTGTATGCAATTTCTGTTCTGCTCCAAGATCGGCCGGCCTCCCTGCGCCGCTACGACAGGCAAAACATGAGGCGCGTGGCAGCAACTCGAACGATTACGGCAACAGCAGCGTGGACGATCGAAGAGACATTGGGAGATTCTGAAAGGCTGAGAAATCGAAGGCTCCTACGATGTTGAAGGATTCTGAAGGATGTGGGGGTTCTCACAGTTTTTGACCCGGCAAGGCGTCGGGCTGCGCACAGACAGCTCCCCAGATAGTCCCGGCTGGCCTCGACGGGCCCCCCCGAGCAGCCCCAGCTGGCCTCAACGGGACCCCCAGCAAGCCAGGGGCGGTCTCGACATACCCCCCCCCCTGGTGCGCGGAGCGCCCCAGCCGCGCCGCCGGAGGAGCTGCCTGAGCACCACCTGCGCGCCGACCACCAAGCGGGTCGTGCGCGAGCTGACGCCGCGACCTCACGCGGTGGCTGACGCGGGCCACCAGCGCGGCACGCCGCACTGAAGACGAGGGCGCTTGCGCGTGAGCTTCTACGCGGGCAGCTTGCGCGCCAGAATGCCGGCGCAGACGGCCCCGTTTTTTTTGCGTCGCTCGTCCGAAGCCTTACAGCTTTGGACCCGCCTTGACGCGCTCCCTCTCCGGCTCCCGCGGGTCGTACTTGAGGTCGCAGATGCCCCAGAAGGCCACGGGCACCTTCTGCTCCGCGCTCGGCCGCGGCGCTGGGGCCCGCGGTGCCTGCGCCCGCCGCGCCCGCCAGTACTCGTCCTCTCCGGGCGCGCAGAAGGCACCTGCCATGTCTACAGCCTTCTGTCGGGCATGTCCTCCTACAGGCGGATTTTGGAAGAAACGTAGCAAATAGTCAAGCCAGACTTACACATAGTCAACAATAGTCAGGAAAAAACAACAGTCTCCCGACTATTGTTTACACTTTTGCATCTTATTCCTCCTGTCGAGGGACAGGCCCGACTTCGGCCTAGCCAAGGCCCTCGGGTGCCCTGGCATGCAGTGCATGCTTGTCGGCGCGCGCGAAGGGTCGGCGGTTCTCCCTGGGTGTTTTTCCCAAACATCCTGTGGTGTTGGGTCCTGGTTTTGAAGAGACGGCGCCCCGCGGCTCCTCCTCCTTCCTTCCTCCTCCCTCCTTCACCTCCTCCCTCCTCCCTGTGTTTCACCCATCCAGTACAGCATTTCGTGGCCACATGGGGAGCTCCACCGAAGGCCCCAATGGCACCGCCCGCATGCGTCACGCACACCCATATCGGCACACCCCTCACACGTTTCGTGGCCCTATATGGAGCTCCACAAAAGGCCCCAGCGCCACCGCCCGCATGCGTCACGCACACCCATTTCGGCACAGCACTCACACGTTTCGTGGCCCCACAGGGAGCTCCACCGAAGGCCCCAGTGCCACCGCCCGCATGCATCACGCACACCCATATCGGCACACCACTCACACGTTTCTTGGCCCCATAGGGAGCTCCACCGAAGGCCCTAGCACCACCGCCCGCATGCGTCACGCACACCCATTCCGGCACACCCCTCACACGCTTCATGACCCCATAGGGAGCTCCACCGAAGGCCCCAGTGCCACCGGCCGCATGCGGCGCGCACACCCATATCGGCACACCCCTCACACGTTTCGTGGCCCCATAGGGAGCTCCACCGAAGACCCTAACACCACCGCCTTCATGCGGCGCGCACACCCATATCGGCACACCCCTCACACGTTTCGTGACCCCATAGCAAGGTCCACCGAATGCCCCAGTGCCACCCACCGCCCGCATGCGCCACGCACGCCCAGTTCGGCACAGCCCTCACACGTTTCGTGGCCCCACAGGGAGCTCCACCGAAGGCCCCAGTGCCACCGCCCGCATGCGTCAAGCGCGCCCATTCCGGCACATCCCTCACACGTTTCGTGGCCCTACAGGGGGCTTCACCGAAGGCGCAGGTGGCTGCGTTCGCATGCGCCCACCGCACCCATTCTGGTACACCCATCATACGCTTCGCGGCACCATCGCCATCGCGAGCTATAGCGAGCTCCACCGAAGGCCCCAGTGGCTGCTTTCGCATGCGCCCACCGCGCCTATTTCGGCACACCTCTCACGCGTTTCGTGGCCCGACCAGAAATTCCAACGACAGCCCCAGTGGCTGCTTTCGCGTGTGCCCACCAGACAAGCGTTGGCATATGATTTACAAGTTTCGTGGCCCTATATGGAGCTTCTCCGAACGCGGTGCATACAATGACGGTACTCACAACTGCAAATGTTGGGTCTTTGGCCAGGCTAATTTTTTGTTCGCTCCTGGTGGCGCCTCCTCTGGAGGCTTCTCGTCGCCACGGCTGGACCCGCCTCGATTAGGAGCAACGATAGGGGGGACTGGCATAGGGGGGGATGCATCGACCTGGAATCGGCGATACATCGCAGATAGATCGGCGATAGGCCCCCGACAGTGAGTCCCCACCTTCCTGTGCAGGCTGGGGCCATCGGGCCCATATCGGCGATCACTGGGAGATCGGGGGTCGATGCATCCCCCCCTCTGCCTGTCTCCCCCTTCTCGTTGCCCCCAACTCGAAGAGCGGGTCCGGATGGACCCAAGGATGAGGAGGAATAGGAGGAGGAAGAGGAGGAGGAGGGGGAGGAGGAGGAGGAGGAGGAGGAGGAGGAGGAGGAGGAGGATAAGGAGAGGAAGAGGAGGAGGAGGGGAGGAGGAGGGAGGAGGAGGAGGAGGAGGAGGAGGGGAAGGAGGAGGAGCGAGGGGCCCGGGGACCGACGCTCGACGGCCTCGGGCCCGCGGCAGCAGTGTCCCTTCCGACCCCGGGCGGCGCAGCAGGACCCGCGACGGCCAGTTCGGCAACGCCGTCGGCCTCCGGGGGCCGCTCGATCCTCGAGGCCCACCGGGTCGTTCTAGCGTTAGGTCGGGCGTGTACCCCCAGAGGCGGATTTCGGGCGAATGAAAAATAAAAGACTAAAACAAAATACCTCGAAATGGTCAAACACAACAATTAAAACAAGGCGTGCCCACATTGTGTTTTAACTCTGTTTGAGTTGTCCCCCTGTAGAGGGACAGGCCCGACTCAATTCTAGCAGGTGGGCAAAACCCCTTCAGCAAAACCCCCCTTTGGTGGAAGCGACCCGGCGGGCGCAGGCCCACAAACCCCGCTGCCGTGACACCCCGGGCCGAGATTCGAGATTCAGCGCTCTGCTGATCGAATTGTAGCAGTGTGGGGGGTCTGACAGACGAGTTAGTGGGCCACATGCGAACCCTACCCCTACCCCCCACGATTTCTGAGGGGTAGGGGTAGGGTTCGCATGTGGCCCCCTACGAGTAAGTAAAGACCTGCCGATACCGCTGCTCCCCAAACCTCTCCCGAGGTGCGCTTTGACCAGAATGACGAAGCGAATCCGGCCCTGGCGGCAGGGTAAGGGCAGCGGTATCGGTATGCTTTCCTCCTCCGGGGGAGGGGCTTCGGTCAACCTCTGGGTTGATTGCACCCCCCTCCATTGAGCGCCCAAATCCTCGCGCTGCGCCTGGAGCTCCCGGTCCCGCGCCGCGCGTTCCTGCGAGGAGGGGGGGCCATCCTGGCTCGGCTGGGGCTTTCCCTGCAGGGGGAGACCCCCGACCAACCCTGGGAATCCCACCCATCCCTGAGGTCCGCTGGTGTGATGCTTCCACCCGCTGCCCCAATGGAGTCCCGACCGCTTCCCCGGGGGGACAGTTGCTCGTCCCAGGTCCATGTTTGATCGCCCCTGGGCTTCAGCATGCCCCCCGAAGGGCAGACACCAAGGGAAAACGCTGGGACCGAGACAAAGCAGGCAACGCCTCGTCGGAGATCTGGAATCCCAGTCTTGGGCCTGACGAACCAGACCCCCGAGGCCATGACTTTTTCATCACGTCGACCCCCCGCGAGGTCTCGACCCGCTCCCCTGGACTGGCTTTTCATCCCGAGTCGTTTTGGACGGTCCCGAGGCACGGCAAGGGCCCCTGGAGGCCGAACATGGCGAAAAGCCTCCCGTCAGGATTTGTTTCATTCCTCGAGGGGGTCTGAGTCCTCCTCCTCCTCCCCCTTCCCCTCCCCCTCCTCCTCCTCCTCCTCCTCCTCCTCCTCCTCCTCCTCCTCCTCCTCCTCCTCCTCCTCCTCCTCCTCCTCCTCCTCCTCCTCCCCCCCCCCTGCAGGCTGCTCGATGGGCCCCCTGCCTCCCCAGGGCCTGGGCAGCCTGCCCGGCGGCCTGCAGGCGCCGCAGCGCGGCCGCTCTCTGCGGCGCGGTCAACGCGTCCGGCCAGGCGATCCAGCAGGCGTCGCAGTACCGCTTCCCGTCCTCCGCCTGGTTAGAGGCCTCCCAGATCGGGTCGGAGTAGATGGGGTCGCAGGATCGCGCCGCATCGCCAATATATTGCCGATGTATCGGCGATGCACAGGCGATGCATCGGCGATGCATCGTCGACGTCGGCGATGAATCGGCGACATCGGCGTGGAGAAAGTCAGGCTCCGCATCGAGCCGCATCATCGATGCATCGGCGATGCGGCGCGATCCTCCGACCCCATCTACCCCGATCCGATCTAGGAGGCCTAGACTGGTGGGCCCCGCCCAAAGGCAGAGGGCAAAAGAGAATTCCCCTCCCTCCCCCCTGGAATCTGCCATTTGAGCAGGGACCGACCGTCCCTGCTTTCCAAAAGGCCTACCACGACATGGTCTTCGAACCCCCAACTGTTCTAAGAGCAAAAACAACGTGCTTAGAACAGAAACCCGATGTGCTAAAACAAGACAGACTCAGCCAGAAATGTTCTCAGAACATTTTGTGCAGACCACAGAGGAATCTGATACTATTATTTGGTCTATAGGCGAGCCAGGACGCTTCGCCACTACTTACCATGGGTAATGTCGGCCCCCATTCCAGGCTTCATCGGGTTTGCGAATGGGCCAAATGTTTGGGGTCCAACCCCGGGATATTATACGATGGGGGGGCGTCCATGCTCGATAAGGGGTGGGCCAGAACTGGAACTCCAGGTTTGGGGGAGGAAACTCGCCTGCGAGGATCATAACCCCTGCAAGCGAGGCTCTTTATAGTAGACGCACATGAGGGCCCCCTGGTGGGAGTCGGACTGGGCAGGGCCGTTCGGTCAACGCGCAGGGCTGTTCGGTAAGCGCGAGTTGAGGGGGTCGGGCTGGGTCCTACCTGGAGCATGGGATCCAAGCGGATGGTGTCGGGGGATCGCCCAGCATCGCCGTTGCATCGCCACTGCGTAGGCGACGTCGGCGATGTATCGGCGACGTCCTCGGCCTTCTGGGCCCGCCCGAACCCAGATCTCCGACGACGTGTGTTTTGCAATCAGTGCGTTGTTCCTCGATCTCGAACTCTGGGGCGCGTCATCGGGCCATGTGGGACTATCAGAACTGGATCAGGGACGCAAAACTGCAGCCGGGGAAGGAGTGTCGGGCGCATTGAACAAATCAGATCGTCGGATGTCTGGGAATGGGGTCCGAGCAAGTTGGGTCTTAAGATCGCGCTGAATCGCCAATGCATCGGCGTGGAGAAGATCGGGCTCCACATCGAGCCGCATCGCCGAGGCGTCGGCGACGCGGTATACAATCATCCGCAGGCTCGCCTCTTGCCTCGGCTCCGCCCAGGCGGCCCGGGCGCCTCCGGGGCCGAGCTGGACCGACTTGCGACACCGGGTCGGCCCCAAGACGGAGCGGATCGCCAGAGAATCGCCCCGCATCGAATCGAACGCTGATCGCCGCGCCTGGCTCTGGCTGGCACAAGCCGATGCCGGTGAACCGAACCACCGAGCCGCACCGCCTGGGATCGGGATCGCGCACCCGGCCAGCGCATTGCGCCGCAGCGCCTCGGATCGCAGGCCCGCCCGCGCCTTGTCGGCGATCGAGACGTCCAGGCCGCACTGCGCGCACCCGGGCAGCGCGGGGCCCGCGAGCTTCTGCGCCTGCGCGTCCCGCGCCGCCTCGGCGGCCGCGGCGCGCGCCGCCGCCTCCTCCGTGTCGGGCTCGGCGCGCGCCTCGGCGGGCGGGGCCACCGGCGCCGCCGCGGCGGCCGCGGGGCGCGCCGCCGCCTCTCCCGCGCTCTGCCCGGGCGGCGGCCGGGCGCCCTCCTGCGGAGGGCCCCGAGCGGTGCGGCGACGGGCCGTGCGGCAGCCTCTCGAGGTCCCCACTCCTCCTCCGTCCTCCTTCCTCCTCCTCTCCCCCTCCTCCTCTCCTCCTCCTCCTCCTCCTCCTCCTCCTCCCCCTCCTCCATCCCTCCTCCTCCTCTCTCCTCCTCCTCCTCCCCCCCCTCCTCCTCTCCTCTCTCCCTCCTCCCCCTCCTCCTCCTCCCTCCTCCCTCCTCCTCCTCCTCCTCTCCTCCTCTCCTCCTCCTCCTCCTCCTCCTCTTCCAGGGGCGTCGCCGCACGGCCCGCCGCCGCATGTCTGGTGGCGACGCACGGGAGCCTCCCACATACCGTCTTGTCGACTCCTGCGAGTGGGCGCCCGTCGACGCTGGCCGACGCGAACCGGCGCCAGCTCGACGCTGAAACGTCGCTGCATCGACGCTGACTAAACCGGCGCTATCTCATCGATCCCCAGACGCTGGTCGACGCGTGTCGACGCTAAACACGAAATTGCTACGCCGCTACAACAGTTCGTAACGTTTGATGGGAGCGTCAAGATGATCCAGGTTTCGTCCGTTACACTTCCGCGCGAGCGGGCGGGCGACGACTGACCCCTGTCCCGACCCCGCCAAGCTGCCCCCCCTTCCCCCTAGAATCCTGGCGGGCTGAGTCAAGAGCGGTCGGATCAAGAATCCGGGATCTCTAAATCTGGAATTTCCGCCAGATGTATAGTAGAACTATTAGTCTTTATTATTATGATGGTTATTATTAGTATCATTATTATTATTATCAATATTATTATTAGTATTATTACTATTATTATTATTCTTATTATTATTAGTATTATGATTGTTAATATTAGTATGATTAGTATTAGTATGTTTATCACTGTTAGTATTAGTACTACTACTATTATTATCAGTATAAGTATTAGTAATACTCGTACTATTAGTACTATTACTAATACTATTGTTATTATTAGTAGTATTATTATTATTAGTATTATTATTATTAGTATTACGAGTGTTATGATTAATAATATTGGTATTACTGATATTATTATTAGGTGTATATATATACTCTGATTGAACGGGGTAGCTGTACACCCCGACGTGGAAGCAACACTTCTCATCCATCACGAAACTTTTCTAACGCTGATGTAAGAGTGCCCACCAAAATTAGGAAGGCACCAACTATACACCAACACCGATCCTGGCCAGGATCACCCTGGGCCCAGGATCGGTGTATACGCCCTCCTGCCTTGCGCAAGAAGGCATATACACCGATCCTGGGCCCAGGGTGATCCTGGGCCAGGATCGGTGTTGGTGTATAGTTGGTGCCCTCCGAAAAATCCCACGACGTGCTGCCGCACGCACGGCGCTCGGGACCTCGGAGGCCGGCCGCCCGAGACGCCCGGGCTCCGCGAGCGGCCGGGGCCCCGAGATCCGCGCGCGGCCGCCCCGAGCCTCCGACCTCCTCGAGAGGGGCCCTCCCTCGGGCGCCCCGCGTGGCGGCCAGGGGAGCCGACAAACGGGGAGGGAGGAGGAGGAGGAGGAGGAGGAGGAGGAGGCGGAGGAGGAGGAATGGGAGGAGGAGGAGGAGGAATGGGAGGAGGAGGAGGAGGAGGAGGGAGGAGGAGGAGGAGGGGGCGGCCAACGAGGGGGGCGCCCAGGATCGGCACGAACGGAATGGGTACGGAAAGAATGGGCACAATGCCCAACAGCAGTTCCTGTTCATTTTGAACAAGACTCGCTGTCGGTGTTGCCGCGGCCCGTTTACTTTTGAGGCGGAAGGCCGCCTGCGCAACAGCGGCCACTGCTGGTTTGGGACAACATTTGCTGTTGGGCATTGTACCTATTTTTGCGTACCCATTCCGGGCGTCCAAACAAGAGGGGGGGGGGGGGCGCAACTCGGAGCCGGCGGCATGTGCGCGGTCCAAGGGGGGGCCCCGGGACGCAGTGAAAGAAGAAGAAAAAGACGCGCCGTGAAATCTGGGGTGATATCCTGGCCCCCGCCATGATATCCCCCCCCTCCCCCTGGTCATCCCCCCCTCTCTGCCGCCCCCGACACACCGGCCCTCCTCCGAATGCGTGGCCTCCTGGCCACCACTCAGGTCTCCTAAGAAGCAGGCTCCTTCCAAGAAGGCTGCCCCCCTCCCCCTAATTACCCCTTGGTGCGCGCCGCCAAGTGTCGGCGGCGAGCGAGGGGGGGAAGTGGTAAGTCGGGCGTGTCCCCCTACAGGGGGGTTTTGAGCGACAGATTAAGACTACCCCAAAATATCAAAACATACCTAAAAAACATCAAATTGTCCCAGTGCGACCCTACCCAGGAGTTGGAGCCCCTAGGAAAGCAGCATTAGTAGTAACAGTAAAGCTAAGCTAAAGCTAAGCTAAAGCTAAGCTAAAGCTAAGCTAAAGCTAAGCTAAAGCTAAGCTAAAGCTAAGCTACAGCTAAGCTGAAGCTAAGCGAAAGCTAAGCTAAAGCTAAGCTAAGGCTAAGCTAACACTAAGCTAAAGCTAAGCTAAAGCTAAGCTGAAGCTAAGCTAAAGCTAAGCTAAAGCTAAGCTAAAGCTAAGCTAAAGCTAAGCTGAAGCTAAGCTAACACTAAGCTAAAGCTGAGCTAGCACTAAGCTGAAGCTAAGCTAAAGCTAAGCTAAAGCTAAGCTAAAGCTAAGCTAAAGCTAAGTTAACATTAAGCTGAAGCTAAGCGAAAGCTAAGATAAAGCTAATATAAAGCTAAGCTAAAACTAAGCTAAAGCTAAGCTAAGGCTAAGCTAGCACTAAGCTAAAGCTAAGCTAAAGCTAAGCTGAAGCTAAGCTGAAGCTAAGCTAAAGCTAAGCTAAAGCTAAGCTAAAGCTAAGCTAACACTAAGCTGAAGCTAAGCTAAAGCTAAGCTAAAGCTAAGCTAAAGCTAAGCTAAAGCTAAAGCTAAGCTGAAGCTAAGCTAAAGCTAAGCTAAAGCTAAGCTAAAGCTAAAGCTAAAGCTGAAGTTAAGCTAAAGTTAAAGCTAAGGCTAAAGCTCCCAGGGGACTGGGGGAACCGCGGGGCGGGGACTGGGGGAACCGCCCGGGGCGGTTAGCACTGCCCGGCCCTTTAAGCAAAGAGAGTAAGAACCCTTCTAGGCAGAGCCTAGGTAGGGAAAAATGGTCCCGAAATGATCTTTTGACTATTTTTGAATACCCCTCCTGTAGAGGGACAGGCCCGACTTCAGGGAAGTGAGACGGAGCGCCCTCGGCGAGGCGCAGCCGCCGGAAAGCATCCCGAGGCCGAACAAGCGCCGAGAGAACCACCGAGACCGTCCGAACACCTGGAACCCCGAGGCCCTCCGCCCCCCCCGCCTCCTCCATGGGCCCATGGGCCCACCCCGAGCCCCCACTGGCTCACCACACGGTGTGGTCACCGCGCCGCTTTGGGGGCCCCCGCCCTCCAGCCCCCCTGGCCGCGGCGAGCCTCAGGTCGGAGACGGGAGGGAGGAGGGATGCCACATGGGGGGATTAGCGAATCAGCTCACGCAGCTGGTTTCCCCAGCCTGCTGCTCGCCAGAGGCGCCAGGGCACCGAGGGGAGTGCCTGGCGGAGGAGCCGAAGCCAGCTGCACGCACCACACGGTGTGCTCACCGCGCCGCTTTGGGGGCCCCCGCCCTCCTGCCCCCGCGGCCGCGGCGAGTCTCAGCTCGGACGGCAAAGGGCTGGGGGAGTAGCACAGGGGGGTTAGCGAATCAGCCCACGCAGCTGGTTTCTAAGACGAAGCCAAGACGAACATACATTCGGGTGAGGATAAATCAAGAACCTATGAGACCCGGCGGTTCTGGAGGATGTCTCGGGCGCCGCGGCCTTCACAGAGCCTTCCGGAAAGCTCTGGAAGCGTTCCAGAACGCGCTCTTGAACGGATTTATCCTCGCCCTAGCCCCGCCCGAGTTCCCCCGGCGCCTGCTGCCGCCAGATGCGCCAATGCATTGAGGAAAGCGCCCGGCGGCGGGGCCGAAACCAGCTGCACGCAGCAGGTGTTCTCAGAAGGCGGCGGGGCTTCTCAGAACCCCCCCCGCGCCTTCCGAGAAATCTTTTTATGCCGTCGGGGAAGGAAGGCTTCGAATAATCCTCGGAAGGCCCCAGGCCTTCCGAGCCTTCCGAGCATGTTCGCCCTCTCTCACTTTCCCCTGTGTGACGCGCCGCCGACTTTCCCTCCCCTCAGCCCCTTCGTCCGACTCGAGAGCCACCGCCGCCGCTGCCGCCGGGGGCGCGCTGCAGAGCGGCGTCCTCCTCCTCCTCCTCCTCCTCCTCCTCCTCCTCCTCCTCCTCCTCCTCTTCCTTCTCCTCCTCCTCCTCCTCCTCCTCCTCCTCCTCCTCCTCCTCCTCCTCCTCCTCCTCCGCCTCCGCCTCCGCCTGCGCCTGCGCCTCCGCCTCCGCCTCCGCCTCCGCCTCCTCCTCCTCCTCCTCCTCCTCCTCCTCCTCCTCCTCCTCCTTCTCCTTCTCCTCTCACACAGTCTGGTCACCGCACCGCCCTGGGGGGTCCCAGATGCCTCCTTCATACATTTTCTGGGTGAGCCCTCATAAGCTCATAAGGGGGGCCCCTGTGGACCTCCCTGCGAACCTACCATGAACAAAATCTGGACGACATCCCCCGAACCGCGAGGAATTTGGCGACTCTGGGAGGCTCCCATAAAGGACCACACAAGATCGGCGGCCAGCCCGGGGGGCAGCGAGCGGGGGCGGGCCGTCTCAGCAGGCTCGGGAGCTCAAACTTCTCAGTAGGCCTCCTGAGGAGCCCAGCCGCCTTCTGAGAGGGCCTTCTC